AAGTTTCTAAACTGAGATTTTTTTGTCACGTACGAAAAGTAGCAATATATTAGCAGTGGACTAGGAAAAAAAATTTTGAAAAGATAATACTGTGGTATGAAAATTAATCAAAAAGTATAACATTTTTCTTCGTAATAAGTTATGAATGTTTTCGTTTCAGTAGAATGAAGTCAGAAAGTACAAATTTGGTAAAGAAACAAGCTCTGATTTTCTTATGAATGTGAGATATTTTCTTAGATATGTTTCTAATGAAATAAGTATATAAACTTCTTTTAAGAAAGAAATAGACTTTATGAGAAAAATCTATGACAATGCAATTTTGGATGACTTAGAGAAAATATTCAAAGTCTGTATGATCTGTGTTAAAAGTCTCCATTAACTACTACATTCGAATACATCAGTACTAGAGAAAATTAATCTTTTCCTGTAGTATACTAAGATAAAAATTCCATTTCTTTTCTTAATTTCTGATTCAGTGTGGTAGTGTTGTTTGAAGTTAAATCTTCCAAACGTGTGAAAAGTTTATTAAATCATACAATATAACTGTTTAATAAAAATGTTGTTCCCAAATCTTCACAAGGACTTGTAAAAGATAAATAAGAAAATATTTGAAAATTCAATGATTTGCAGTGGCCGTAATATTCAAAGTGTTCAAAAGGTTATCGATAAGGTACTTCACAAAAAACGGTTTATGAAAACACGAACACATCACAGCCATCCGTAAATAACTTAAACTGAAAATTTTTTACTCCAAATTGAACTGAAAATTGAACTGAACTGAAATTGAACTTCCAAATTGAACTGAAAACTGAAAATTTTTTACTCCAAATTTACTTTGGACGCAGGAAAAGAAATATCAAAGGATTCAAAATGAAGATACTCATGTAAACTTTCCGAAATGAAATGTACAGTATTTCAGAAAATATTCACTTAACTTCTAATTTGCTTGTAATTTTGTTAAATCATATGTAATGAGCGTATGTGAGATACGAAATACATTCATATGCGAAACAAATAACAAACATTTAACTATCTGGCAATGAATCAAATTACATTGGAAATGAAAAGTAGAAAAAATATATCTGTATGGAAAATCTTGATGACAATTTCTAAATGTGTTTTTTCGAATAAAAATCGTTAAAGGCTCCTAGGTTAGTAATGAACTACTAAATTCGGTCAATTTTCATCAAAAACGCCGTAAGAAGTTCTCCGCACTGGTAAAATATTACTTAAATTCTTTAGCTTCGTGAGTTCCCTCAGACATTGGCAAGACAGGCAATCAGGGCAATACAAGATAACAATGTATTTAAGAGGTTACTTCAAAGCTATGAAAGAAATAACGTTTTGGAAAAAAATATGGACATTTTCAAGAAAAATATTTTCTTATGTTTTTTCGGTATTATAATTGTAAACAAAATGCAAAAATTAAGTATATACGTAGATAAATCTCATGAATAAAGGTAAATTAACATGAAATGTTTCCTTAACGTCTGTTCCAACTAAAATTCCCTAAAGGGATAAACTGATGTTTGTTTCTCCCGCGGCGAGGTGAAAATACAGTTAGAACACACAGGAATGAGGATGTGCTAACATGTATAGATCCGGGGCTGTGCCACGTATGATATTTCATATTTGTTTCAGTCATGTTGTTATTGTTTTAAATAAATAATCAAAAGACAACTACTGTGAATTAAATTGACTCAGCACTTCAGAACGAAGATATCACAAAAATGTTGGTGAACTCCGGACGTGATGCGAACCTTCTGATGGAATATGAACCTTTCTTTGTTTTGGAAGTTTCTGATTCGCGACCATGGAATTGAGGTAGGTCCCTTTAGATTCAGTTCTTGAAGTGTTATAATTTTGTATGTGATAGGAAGTTTTGAATTTATAGTGGTGATTTGATTATTTAGTTAATGTAAATTGATTTGAAATTTAGTTTTGAAAACAGAAGTAGTTTATGCAAACATGGTGAAACGAGTTGAAAGGTTAAGGCAGAAACGAAACTGCATTAGGCAGCTTTTTTGTAATCTTTTGGCAAAAATTGAAGACGCAATATACAAACCTTTAAGTGAAATTTACAGTAAAGAACAAAAACTTGATGATCTTTATGATCAAAGAAACCAGTTGATTGAAAAGATAAAGAATCTTAAGGGTTTAGATAGTGAAATAGAAACGATAATTGGTATAGATGAGTTAGAAAACGAAATTGCTGAGAGTAAGAAACGAAAGTAGTGTAGTTAAGCTTCCGAAATTAAGTATTGAGAAGTTTTATGGTGATTGTAGCTCTTGGTTGGATTTCTGGAATTCCTGCTAAGTAGCTATTCATAATAATAATTCCTGAAGTAAGGTTGAGAAGTTTTTGTATCTGAAAACATTTCTGGGAGGTACTACCTTGTCAGCAGTTTCGGGATTTTCGTTAACAAACGAAAATTATGATTCCTCAATTAAGTTGTTAAAAGAAGGCTAGATTTGATATGAGCTCGCACATGAATAAACTGTTACTGATTGATTCCGTTAAGACATGCGCGAACGTTCCAGCATTGAGACGAATGTATGATACGATTGAGATTCAAATTCGATCATTAAAGTCTTTAGGTGTTGCAGCAGGAACTTATAGTAGTTTACTTTGCTCTGTAATACTACAGAAAATTCCAGAAGAGCTAAATTTGTATTACAAAAGACAACGCGAATCGCGTGAATCATTTGATATAGGGTAGAAATAAGAGAAGCGTCTTTTTTATTATCAGATTCAAAAAACTTTAAGCGAAATGAAATTCCCTTTAGTAATAGAGGAACGAGTCAAAATTATCAGAAAAATTATGTAGACTCAAAACGAAACATTTCAAAAGCGCGCATTCCAACAGCAGCTGCTTTAACATTCCGTAGCGAATTAAATGTGTAGGTTTTGTTCGGATAAATCTCACGAAACACATAAATGTCCTTTACCATTAACAGAAAAAAGAAATTCGTTAAAATCACAAGGGCGATGTTACATTTGTCTGAAACGTAGATATACCTCAAAATTTTGCTTGAAAAAGGACCAGCTCTGCAAATTATGTAAAAAACCTCACAATTATTTAATATGCGATAAGGCTGAACCGAGAGATAATGCAGCCGAATCAAATAGTAAAGAAACGAGCAATAATTTATCTGCGGTACAGTCATTGCATTGCTTCGGAGGAAGTGAAAGGGAATCTGTAAACAAAACCGACAGCGCAGAAGCGTCGTCGCCGGTTTTACTCCAAACATTCAGCGCTGTAGTAAAAACAAATAAAAGGAACGAAATCTTGAGGGTGTTTATAGACGGCGGGAGTAACAGAACGTTTATCAGAAGAAAAACTGCGGACTCATTAGGATTGAAGGCTACCAGATGTGAAACGTTTGAAATATGTGGGTTTGGTAGCGAGCGTAAACCTAAACAGCAGTATAATATAGTTATACTTGCGGAATAGTTATATTTGCGGAATAGAACCAACCCAAGTAAAAAACTCCGCATAGAAGCAGTGGTAATTGATGCGATTACGCATGACCACATAGAAATTCCTTCAAAGTGGGTCAGAAACATGGCTCTAAGTAAGGGAATAGAATTAACCGACATTGGAAATACGAAGGAGATACACATGTTGATCGGCTCAGATTACATTTGGGAAATTTTATATGAAAGAAACATAAGATTAGGGAAACGATTAGTTATTACTGACACTTTGTTTGGGTTTGTAATCCAAGGTAAGGAAATGGGATCGGATAATCGTGGAAATTAAGATAAGACTTGTGTAAATCATATCTCTGTGAAAGAACAAACAGATTTTGAAAGCGTTCGGAATTTATGGGATTTGGAGTCTATAGGAATAAATAAGGAAAAAGAAATTTCGCGATCAGATGCAGATGTCATAGATATGTTGAAAGAAATACCACGTTTAAAAATGGGAGGTATGAAACTAAATTGTTATGGAAGGAGGGTTGTAACACATTGAAGAGTAATTATGAAGTTGCAAAAAGACGTTTGATAAGCTTAAATAATAAATTTGGGCATGATCCGCATCAGTATTTTCGTTATAAAGAAACAATTAATGAGCAGTTAAGGGATGGTATTATTGAGAAAGTTGCATTTCATGGAGATTGTGATAGGAAAATTGGTTATTTTATGCCTCATCAGGCTGTAGTACGCGAATCAAAGGAAAGTACGAAAATTAGGATTGTGTATGATGATGCGTCGTCGAAAGTTAGAGATGGGCAATCGTTGAATGATTGTTTAGATAGTGGTCCCAACCTCAATTCAGATTTGGTCAGGATTATTTTAAGATTTCGTTATCACCCAATCGCGTTTTGTGCTGATATTGAGAGAGCATTTTTAGAGATTGGCATAGCACAGGAGGATCGAAAGTTTTTGCAGTTTTTATGGAGAAATGAGGGGGGACCAAACTTGATTTCAATGGTCGTGATATCCGAATTTTACGAATGATACGTGTTCCTTTTGGTGTGAAATGCAGTCCTTTTATTTTGACAGCAACTATACGACTTCATTTAAACAAATATGCAAATTCACACAGTGAAGCATGTTCTATTTTGAAAGAACTTTATGTTGATGACTTAATAAGTGGGGCATCAACTGTTGAAAAAGCAGTATCCCTTGCAAGAGACTGTAAATTTATACTGAGTGAAGCAAACATGAATTTACGGCAATGGTCTTCGAATTCAGCTATCCTTAATCAAAGATGGAAGGAAACCCAAATGGAATGTCGGACGCCATCGAATCAAACAGATATACCGTTAAAGGTATTAGGATTGAATTTGGGACAATGATAAGGACACCTTGAAGATAGATCTGAATCAATTTACAAAATTTAAATATGTGACACCAACAAAACGTACAGTTCTAAGTGCATGTGGCATGTTGTTTGATCCATTAGGTTTAATTACACCATTCAGTGTTAGAATTAAATTGATAGTGCAGAATCTTTGGGAAAAGGGCTTAAAATGGGATGAAAATATTCCAGCAGAATTGGAATCTATGTTCCAGGTGTGGTGGAATGAAGTATCCGAGCTTGAGAGGCTTGTCATACCTCGACCATATTTTGACGAGCTGGAGATTCAGCAGCTGGAAGTACATATATTCTCTGATGCAAGCCCAAAGGCATATGGTGCGGTCGCATATTTCAAGATTAGATACCATGACAAATGTGCGACAAGTTTTATAATTTCAAAATGTCGTCTAGCTCCACTGAAGAAAATGACTTTGCCGCGATTAGAACTACTAGGAAACTTGATTTCCGCACGATTGTCTGATTATATACGATCCACGTTTTCTTCTCTGAAAGAAAGTGACATTTTCATGTGGACAAATTCCACAATATGTCTACATTGGATTAGAGGTGTTGCAAATGATTGGAAGCAATTTGTTCGCAATAGAGTTTTGGAAATCAAAGAAAAGACAAATCCATCGAATTGGAATTTTTGCAACGGAAAGCTGAATCCTGCAGATAAACTTACTAGGGGAGTAAATGCACGATCTTTAATTAATGATGAAACATGGTGGAGAGGCCCCTTGTGGCTAAAAGAAGTTGATGTTCCAAACAGTAAAGAAATACCGAATGCTGATATTGATACATTTGAAGCAAAAAAGGAGAGAAAAAAGAACTGTATTGTTTTACCAACATACGTTGAACGTACCGATAGCTTGTTGAATTTGCACAGATACAGTGACTTATCTAAGGTTCTTCGAATCACTGCATGCGTCATACCGTTTATTAATAAATGTAAGAAAAATTCTGAAAGGTGTAAAGAAGCGCTAACTGCTGAAGAACTCGCAAGTGCTGAACGCTATTGGATTCGATTTATACAGCGAAGTGAGTTTGAAAAGGATCTTATTAAATTGATACGAAAGGAAACACTTAGTTCCGATTCCAAATTATATGGTCTAAACCCGATCCTGACGGCAGAAGGACTCATATGTCTTGGTGGTAGATTACAACATTCTGATTTTCAGTTTCAAGAAAAGCATCCATGGATTATACCGAAAAAATCGAGATTTACTGAATTGCTAATCAAAAGAGAACATGAGAACTTGCTTCATGCTGGTGTTTCAGATACGCTCACTCAAACTCGAGAAAAGTATTGGATCATCCGAGGCAGACAAGCTGTAAAATCGTGCTTAACTGTTTCGTTTGCAGGAAATTGAAGGCTAAAAAGGGCACTCAAGTTACTACTCCATTACCAGCGGATAGAATTCATGAAGCGAATCCCTTTGAAATCACAGGTGTTGATTTTGCTGGACCTTTATTTACGAAAAATGGAGACAAGGTTTATATTTGTTTGTTTACTTGTGCAGTCACACGTGCAGCTCATCCTGAAATTGTTTCTAGCCTAAGCACCGAACATTTCCTTCTAGCATTTCGTCGCTTTGTATCAAGAAGAGGTGTTTGCCGAACTATAAACTCCGACAATGCCAAAACTTTTAAAGGTGCAGATGTAGAACTGAAGAAATTATATGCAAATATTGTTGATCCATCTGTACAAAATTATTTTGGTACAAAAGGAATAAGATGGCATTTTATTGTCGAAAGAGCAGCTTGGTGGGGTGGATACTGGGAGAGAATGGTGAAGATGACAAAAGGTATTTTGAGAAAAGTGTTAGGAAAGGCTTCAGTTTCCTTTGAAGAATTACAAACCATTTTGACAGAAATAGAATGTATTCTCAATTCTAGACCACTTACTTACGTTTACAATGATCCATCAGAGGCATTCCCTCTTACTCCTGCTCATTTCCTAACTGGAAAACGCTTAACATCCTTACCGCACCAGGCTGGTCATGTTAAAGAACATATTACAAGTAACAAAAGAATTTTAATTAAAAGATATTTGTATCGGGAGAAAATTTTAAATGATTTTTGGAGACGATGGAAAAGAGAGTATCTTCTCCAATTAAAATGTGAAAATTGTTTCAAACCTGTTAATGTAACCACTGATTTTAATATAAATTATGTAGTTTTGATAGAGGATGACAAACTACCTCGGCAGCTGTGGAAGCTGGGAAAGGTGATGGAATTGCACAAAGGCAGGGATAACAAAGTAAGAAATATCACAGTGAAAACTTCTTCAGGTTTAATAAAAAGGCCTATCCAAATGCTATATCATTTTGTTTTCAGAATTTCAAGTATCTATTTATTATTTCTTTAGTAACTGAAATTTGTTACTTGTGTTAGTTATTGTTTGATAATAATTGTTTTCTTTTCTATTTGCATTTAGCTTGTGGTAGTTAGTAAGATAAAATGTAGAGTAGTAGCGAATATGATGATAATGTCCTTTATATACAAAGTATTCATGCTATTTTGTACGCTATAAGCTTTGTAAAAATATAAAATGTACTATTTTATTGTAAAATTTTGAATTTATGATAAATGCCTTCGTCGCGGGCCGGAGGATGTTTCAACTAAAATTCCCTAAAGGGATAAACTGATGTTTGCTTCTTCCGCGGCGAGGTGAAAATACAGTTAGAACACATAGGAATGAGGATGTGCTAACATGTATAGATCCGGCGCTGTGCCGCGTATGATATTTCATATTTTTTTCAATCATGCTGTTATTGTTTTCAATAAATAATCAAAAGACAGCTACTGTGAATTAAATGACTCAAAACTTCAGAACGAAGATATCACAACGTCTATGTAAATGGAAAACAGTGATCGTAATATATTTGAAAAAAATAGTTCATATACAGTGCATTAAAACTTTGCTACCGATCTATGAATTCACGGAAATCAGCGAAAAAAAGTAATTTATCATCGCTTGCTTACAGTATATTCTCTTGTCGTTTTAATCTTTTTGCTTTTGAGTTGTAGTATTTCTGAATTTGAAGCTTTAAAACACAAAATCACTCTGATTTATCAACTTGTGCCTAAATTTACAGTACAGTCAACCAAATGGAAGATTTTAGCATAAGTAAATGTACTACACACAAAATAAAATTAAAAATTCATCATTATTTTTAATGTTCTGTTCATGAAACTAGTCCTGACTTATCCCAGTTGGAACATTTTCAGAAAAAATATTCGTTTCTTGTGCATGTTTTTGCATACTCAGATACTAACTTTGTTGGAAATATAGTATTTTCTTATTCCCTTATATATTTCACTATTACAGTCTGGCTTGGGAAATTTTTTTTCCATGGATATGACATACTTCTCCTATATGTCTGTCACTGTTCTAATAAATTACGTTACTAACAAGTGTGAATAAAATCCCTAACTCCTAGCTATACAGGAATTATCTTGAATGTTTGCTTAATCTGAAACGAAAAATGCAACCCATGTGCAAAAAATAGAGCAACTTTATCTTAAAAAGTTCTGCGTGAATACATTTTTGTTTCTTGGTCCTTACATGCTTTTCTGTGTTTATCACATTAAGTTCATTGTGTATCTATCTCTTATCTATTTTGTGAAGTATTCCTGTTTGAATACTTGCATTTGAATTTGTTTAACTGATTTTTAAAGTACACGTATATTTTGATCAGTGCGTGGGGAAATGAGGAACTGTGGCACCGAGTGGCTCTAAGCATTCCATACTGCATCTTTACTTAAGAGTACAGCCGGTAAAAGAGAAAATGCGTTTCATACTTTGTGAAATGTATTTTATTTACTTATTATGTGCCATGTTCGTGATAAATAAAAATGTTATACCTGTGAGCAGGATTGTGTGGCTCCAATGTTTAATTAAAATAATGCTTTTTGAAAGTGTGATCTTTCTTATGACATATTAAAATGCGTTAAAATGTTTTTAATTGCTGACTATAGTAGATCATTATATGGAGTTTCTGTCATTATTACCTATTTTGTATAATTATTTGTGTGTAATTTTATTTACTATCTATGAGAAGTTAAATGTGAAAAAAGCTGTAAAAGTTCATTATTAAGTAATGTCAGTTTGAAATTTCTATCTTAAAATTATTTGTGTTAGGTCTTTTAAGTTAATTACTATGTTGGATCATTATTTGGAAGTTTGCTCAATAGTTCGTATAATGTATCATAACTATGTAGGAGTTATTTGTCAGGTATGATAAATTAAATTTCGTTCTCAAAAGGCTGTAAGAGTTCAGTGCTAAATAAATTTATGACTATGTAAAATATGGGTATCTTTCAGTTAAATTACAATGAATACGTTAAAAATATTCCAAGTTAATAAATTTTTATATTCCAAGTTGGGAAAAAGGCGATAAAGTTTCATTTCCATGGCTGAATATTAATTACATGACTTTAAGTTCTCCTTCACAAAATGTGACTATAATTCAAATTTAAAATAATACGTTACAATGTGGATATTCTTCTCTGTAGTTAAAATATAGTTCAATCTTCTGTACCTTGTTAAGAGAGTAAGGCTGTGATAAGTTCAAAAACAGTAGTGTTTATAAAGTTCTGCGGTAAATGGTGGAATCATATTAAGAATCCGAGTGACGTTTTCATATGAAGTTAAAATCAAGGTTCAGTGTATGTTTTTGATTTAAGTAGGATGTGTGCAAAAAAATACAAGATATTTTTGTAAAATATTTCAAAGAGTTAGCAAAATTTGTGTTAGTAGTATAAATGAATCTTACTGAATAAAAGGGAGTGTTCTGAATATATACATGTATAAATGTCTGTAGAGTAAAATAAGAAGAAATGAAGTACTATTGGTGCCTATCTAAACTTAACTGAGTAGAAGTGCTCCATGCATTGGTTTGAGTGGGCTTCATACCATGAAAATTTATTGCTCCTTATAAGATTTATTTAAAGTCAGTAGGTCTTACAATAAAGAAAAAACATGTGTAAGTCTGTATTTATTATGTATTTGTATAAGTCTATATTTAATTTTTTGGGAAAAAGGAATCAGAAATACAGCATGAATTTGTTTAATGAGTTAAATATAAAGGTAAATGTGTAAATGGAAAGTGTAAAAATTACATTTATCAGACATAGTTTGATGACTCCTTTGAATAAAAGTAAGACGTGTAAAAGGGAATCAACAAAGTTTTGTATAGTTGCCAAAAAGTTAATACAGTCATTAATAGTTAGTACAATACATTACAAGGAAAAGTTCTGAGTATCTCCAACTTAGTAGTAAAAAAAGTAAGAAATGTAGTATTCCAGTTAAACTACTATATAGAATGAACATTGTGTATATTGGTTTAAAGTTACAGAAAATATTACCTAGTGAAGTTACATGCATATAAATTCCAGCTTAAAATTTCAAAGACAGAGAAATGTAGGTAAGTTTACTTTTGGAGAAATGGAAATGTAACATCATATTGTATTTAAAACAAGGGAAAAAAGTTAAGGGTAAAATAAAAATGTAACAAAAAAAAAAAAAAAAAAAAAAAAAAAAAAAAATTAAAAGAAAGGGAAAAAAAAAAAATGAAATTTACTTTTGGAATCAAAATGCATAAGGGAAAAAACAAAAAAACTGCATTTGTGTAAACAAAAAAAACTCAAAAAAAATTAAAATTATGAAACTAAATATTACTTTTGTAAAAAATAAAGTTAAAAATGTAGTAACACCTTTTTTTAAAATAAAAAGCGGAAAGAAAAATTAAATTTGTAAAAATAAATATTAGTTTTGTAAAACCAAAAAACGTTTAAACAAAAAATTAAAATAAAGTAAAGTAAAAATACGAAAAGGAATAAATTTTGGAAAAAAAAAACTTTTGCAAAATAAAAAAGTGAAAAGGAAAAATTCAATTCGTAAAAATAAATATTACTTTTGTAAAACCAAAAAGTAAGTTCAATAAAATATAAAAAAATAAAGTAAAAACACGAAAAGGAATAATTTTGAAAAAAAAAAAATTGCAAAGTAAAAAGAAAATGTAAATTCACTTTTGTAGAAATAAACGTCAATTTGCGAAAGTTAAAAATAAAATTTATGTTTGGGAAAGGAAAAACATATTAAATCAAAAATTAATAAATTAACTAATTACTTAAAAAATAGTAAGAATGAGATGAAAAATGAAAACAATTAAAAATATCTTAATAATAAAAAATTAAACTGTGGGAAAATCTTACATTTAAGACAGCAATGAATAACAAAGAGTTTCAAATAACAAGTTTGATAAGACGACCGGATAGCCGTGTGGTAACGTTCAGGTCTTTCATCTCAGGGATGGCGGGTTCGAATCCCGCTCGTGGCGTTATTTTAAAAATTCAGGGAAAATTATATTAAATTCATTAAAAAGAGATATAAAATATAATGGAATCAATTAAAAATAATGACGGATTAAAATAATTAAAAAGGATGATTGATAATTAAATAATGAAACATAATGAATATTATGATTAAATAACTAAAATAATAAAGGCAAATAATTGGTAAATAAGGAAAGTAATAAAGTTGACATCATGTGGTTTAAGCGATTGTTGCCACAAGCATAAAAAATATTGTCGTTGCCATAAAAATAAAAGTTTGAGAAAAATAGGGTTGTCACAAAAAATGAAAACCTTGAAAAGATCGTTCCACACCATAAAAACGAAAGTTTGATACCGTCATTCCATCACGTGATACAAGATGGCGCTGGTGTCGTCACTTCCGGAGAAATTCAAAATGGCGGAGGGTACGCCTCCTTTTCTATGACGTCACTTCCGCCGCCCGGTTACGGTGGCTTACTACTGATAATATATGCTTATATAGTTACATAGTACATGCTTATATATGCTTACATAGTTCATAATACATTGAGCCTGTTACATAATACATGCTTACATAGTTCATAATACTTTGAGCCTGTTTCATAATACATGCTTACATAGTTCATAATAAATTTCATTGGCCATATTACATACTTGTTTCATAATATATACAGTACTTAGGCGATGCTGAACTCTACTAAATCTGTATAGGAGGAAAAAAAGAGAGAGAGAGAGAGAGAAAGATTGACTGGGATCTATTCCGCACTGCACAAATCTGTTCCCAGTTTCTCCAGTTTCTGTATTATCTTGCATATTTTGCTGCGAAATGCTGGCTGTTTGATCAGATAACGCTTATGAGAAACTGCCGGTTTCGGAAGCTGAACATGCGATTGTGCGGTTAGAGGGCATTGGATCAAGTAATGGTTTGGTTTACCCATGGTTCCACAGACACAGCTTTCGGTATTTGCAATTCCTCGCTCATAGTAATAGGAGGGGAAAGGCCCGTGCCCCGTCACAAATCTCGTAATTTGTGGGGATGATTCAAGACGATCGAGCGAATCTTTATGGTAGTATTCATAGGTCCTCCTGCGTAATTCCAAAAACTGTCACCCTTTTTGATATAAAAACCTATTCAGTCCTGTGTCCGGGAGCCTAAAAATCTCAAACAGCATCGCTGGGTGATCTTCTTATAGAAACTCCTGGCCAATCTGCAACCCTTCTAGCTCTAAAGAAATTAGTACATGCTTAGGTAATTGTCTCGGCTAGCAAAACTCTGAATTATATTCGTGGTGTAATCTCAGAATTTGTTAAGTTGGACGACTCAGAGGAAGAGTTTGTGATTGAGCTTTCTGACCAAAATCTTAGTGCTCCTAGAAGAATCAAGATGCGGAAAGAGGGTCAATTAAAGAGGACGTCTTCCAACACGTGCGCTTGGTAATTTTACATGAGCACGTGCGCGTCGTATTTTTTACGACATCCGTTATTTTACCGTTTTTGGCACGAAAAACTACAGAAATGAGTGAATATTGATAACAAATTTGTTAAGAAATAAAATATTAATCTTATTATTGCAAAATACAAATGATATCACATTCAAATATAAGTAAATTATTTTTAAGTTCTTATGTTAGTGAGATGGAAATGCAATGATGCATTTCATTATAAAAAATTAAATTCATTATTTAATAATTATATTTTAAAATGGAAGCTAATTTTAATATTCATCAAAGACAAATATAGACAATAAAAAAGGAAAACACCTTTGTAGGAAAAAAAGTAAGTTTACCATTACTTACTTCTGCAAGGAAATTTACTTCTTACTGGTTACAAAAACGCACTTTAAACTAACTTTAATGTTTTTATTTATTTCTAAAAAATAGAAATAAAAGAAAATAAGGAATGGAAATCGCGATTGTTCTCCCATCCAAATGTTTGCTTGTCTTCCTTTTCTTCATCAGATAATTCTTGAAGAATCCGAGCAAAATCAGCTGGTTGCACAAATTTGTGTGCCAAGAAAACCGAAACAAAATTTACAGAGCTAAATGTATTCAAATTAAAATAATACACGGCCATTAATAACACAAAATTATAAAATATTTGAGAAAAAAGTATTTTCCGAATTTTAAAACACGACCACGCGCGTATCGTAACTTTTATGAAAATGCTGCCACGTAGCACAAAAGCCCAGTTAAAAAAAAGCCAAATGACGTCCTGTTGGCACATTCCATGATGTGGGGAAGGGTAGAAAAGAGGAACAGAAATGACCTTCAGACGTCTCAGATTCGATATGCAAAAAATTGCATTAAAAACAGAATTGTTTTAAATGTTGCGCAGACGCGCGTGCTGGAAGGTTGATAAATACCAAACATGTTATCCTGAGCTTCAATACGTCTGATTTGCCAAAAAGGCTGGGTATCTTTATTGCCTTGTAAGGTCATACATGTCCAACCCTATGTGATGTTTCCCAGTGCCTGAGCTTTCGTCACTCGAAACTGTCCCGTAGAGGTAAGCTCACGTCTGCGCACTGGTCCACGACAGTGCCAGTTGCAACGCTCTGCCACTGTGTGTCAAATGTAAGGGGAACACACAGCATTTTCTCGTTCATGTCCTACATGGAAAGCTGAGAAGAAAGTACAGTTCCTGAAAGTGACCAAAAACATAACGTGTGCTGAAGCTAGAATTATAAGTAGTACGCAGCCACGCTTGAATGCTTCATATGCTGCTCCTGTTAAAACACTGAAAACTGTGGAATCCAAACTAATTTAAACACTGCATGCAAAAGGTAGTAACAAATTGGGAAATGCCCCTAAAATGATGGCAATAGAATTTAACACAATAAAGAATAAACTAACAAAAAGAAGCGCAAATCACAACAAAATAACAGCAATAATTAATACCAAGAATAAACCCATGAAAATAATACCACCACATAGTCAATCTAATGCTGTGAAACAATCTGAAAACTTTCGATTTGAAGGAAACTTTTCTATAAGGCGAATAGCCAAGTTAAGCTTAGGAGACATTTCTTTGCGAGAAAGGACAATGTTGCTAGTGAACACTTCTGTCAGAGTGTAGGCCTTCTGACTTCATATGATTATCCGTCAACTGCCCTTTCTTTAGCAACATCCCTTCAAACTGTTGCTATACAGGTTAATGTCAAAGGATTAGTTTCTATTATTACTATATATCTCCACACGAATGAAGCTATTGATCAGAGAGAGTTGGATGCGTTGATAGAGCAGCTGCCTTAGCCCTTTATTATTTTTGCAAACAAAGATACAAGTTCTCGTAGATAAATTGAGCAAATGATCGAAGATCATTGCCTTTGTTTCCCTAATAATAGTCAGGATACCTACTTCTATGAGACAACAAGGCCATTTCGCGCTATTGATATTTCCATCTGTTCGCAATCTCGGTTGCCTTTCTGTACATTTGGAGTTGAAAATGATCCTTATAATGGAAATAATTTCTTAATATTTGTTAACTTTTACAACAGAAGGAATGAATTCCGTCATAAGGCCCTCGCGGTTTATATTTGAAAGGGCGGAGTGGGAGCTTTTCTCCTCTTTGTGGAGTTTACAGAAGAAACTGTGAATGGGTGCTGGTTGATGATGCAGTGAAAGCCGTAAATGACGTTAGCATCCAAGCACCTACAGCCTCTATACTGTACACTCTTTGACCTTACCAAAGCCTCCAAAATATTCAAACCCATGGTTTCACCATGGACCAAAAAACCATATTTGGGACCAAAACACGAATGCCAAGAAACTCTGAGACAGCAGAGAAAAAGCAAAGGTACGTTTTCGAAGATATCCTACTCTATCTAACGTTATTCTTTTAAAAAAGGGGAACATAACTTTCTCAGTGCTTAGAAGAAAGCTGTTGCCATTCCTAAGCCAGGAAAAGATCTGGAATATACCCCTAACTACAAATCCACCGCCCTTACGTGTTTCGTTTACAAACATTTAAAACAAATAATGAACTGCTGTTTTGTCTATTATTTAGAAAAGAACAATGTAATTATCTCATGTCAAAGTGCTTTGGTGAAGGTAGAACGCCTAATGATAATATGTTCCTTTTGAAAACTTTCATTTGTTTGACTTTCTAGAAATACATCATCCAGTTTGTGTGTTTTTCGATATAAAAATGCGTACGACGAAGCATGGAAACATGAGATTTTGCTTAATCTTTACCCCAGTGGATTACGCGGCAACTTACCAATATATTTGCAAAATATTTTGAAGGGTAGGATTATGCTATGAAGGTGCAGACATGAGATGCATAGAGAGACAACCTCAAATTACTCTTAAGAGTATCCAGCAATGGCCAAAGAATGAAGGATTTATGTTTTCGAAACAGAAGACCTTATGCGTGCATTTTTACAAAAAGCGTAAACTCCATCCTGAGCCTGAATTATATCTTGACGGATCACCGATTCCAATATAATCCTAAGTACAGTTTTTAGGAGTGATGTTCGACCAAAATTGACCTTCTTTCCACGTATCCTATACCTCACCGCCACTAACAGCTTTTCAGTGATAAACATTTCAGTTCAAGCATGCATTTTACGAGATATTTCTATATTATTTTTATCCAAACCCTGTATCTTCCTGATAATATGTACAATTGACTCACATAATTTAATATTGAATGAGATTTTAGCAGAGAAACGAATGTGCGTTTAATCGTAATCGCAATGTTTTTTCAATAACCTATACTATTAAAAATTTGTGCGCCTCTGTGTTTTTTTGGTATGTGTGCAACAACATGTCCTCCAGAACGACGGAGAGTTGACTTTCGAGAGAGTTAACCCCGGATTCCTAAAATCCTGGCAAACCATTTCGACTATTCTCCATCTTCGTACGACTTTAATCATGCCGAGAATTCTGAGAACTCTGAAATTCTTTCCCAGATAAAAACTCTGTAACTTTAGCACTCATATTTTCGAGTGGCTGGAGATGAAAATTTGCTTTATTCCGAAAAGTACTCTCACTGCTCACTTCCAAATTGAAATAAAAATAGCATCGCCGAATATTAAATATATTATTATTATATAAAAATATCATATTCTGGCACTGAAGAAAGTACGCGATTGCATGTACTGCCATTGTATATCGAAAATGTTTTGTTAATGACAGTATTTGAAATAAATAACTGCTGTTCACAACTTTCTTTTTTCAGGTTAGAATAATCCACATGATATGTTATTGCTACGCTAATTCTTTTATCGATATTGACAGAAAAGAGTTATATCACATTAAATTTAAATTATGACATAACACGTATTCGTATTAACCTGAATTGTCAAAAGTTTTTGTTTCCTGATTTGGTAACTAAAAATTAGCAACAGATTGGCAGTTGCTTGGAAAGAATGAACCGATTTCCTTCATATTGAAATATTTTTATGCATTTTCTTTTCTGGGGTAGATAGAACACATATATTTTGCTTTGGTCGCAGGCCGTTAGTGTCATTATATCGTATGGCTTCTGTTTATTTTTAGTACCATGTGGAGCAGAAAATTGTGAAAATGGCGGCATTTGCGACGGAAAAGGGGATTTCAAATTTTGCGAATGCTTGACAGGAACTTCTGGAGATTTTTGCACGGAAATTCCAGCTTGCAGAAATGGATCTTTATGTGGAACTTCCTCAGATGTGCGATGCGTTTATGACGGAATCCAGCAGAAATCTGTCTGTGAATGTCTACACACTAACGCAGAATTCAACAACCACACAAAAAAATGCGGTAAGTACTCCTAGATACTTACTACAATTAAGAAAATGAGAATTATAAGCGTCCATCATGTAATTCAGGCAATGAAGTATGTAAATCAGAATATTTATATTCGCAATATAAATATTCTGTGTTTATTTGGAGTTTTTGAAACTACACGTTTCAAAAGTATTTGGGCTAACGGTCCTTTGGGCTAAAAATATTTAAATCTAGCATATCTTTAGAATTTTCAAAAAAAGGTCTCGCGCACTGGAAATGAAAATATTTCATTCCGTGCAGTCTGGTGCCAATGCTCGCTTTGAAATTTTCTAGTTTCTTAATAAAAAATTAGTTAAGTTAAAAAAATATGCAATAGACAGTAAAACAAATTCGAAATTCGAGATTTGGATGACTACCTTATTCAATGTCAGTTGGCTCTAGGTATCGGTGTTTTTTTCCAATGCGAGAAACGTACAGGCATTCATGCAGATTCTTCATTATTAAATTTCTTTAAATATAATACAGGGCGATTATACTTGGTGGCAGCAGTTAGAAAAGTGATAGAGCCGTTTATAGTGATTTTACTAAAAATGCCGTTTTGAAACTAATAACCCTTTTGGTCTAATGCCTCTTTGGGCTAAACATAGATTTTGCAATTTTTCTTATTTCCTGGAACTGGAAATCAGTTGAACTATTATTTTTACCATACAGGACTGATTCTTAAGTTGCTTTTACTATTTTATATACTTTCTCCATGCTTACATTTCCTTAGTAAATGCTTTTCCCCAAGAATTCATGGTGTGTTTTTGAGCTCTACAATTCTGTATCGTCTGTTCCCTCTTTGGTCTTTAAAACTGAAGAACTGGAGTTTTCTTCTTGCAGGTATTTGCTTTATTTACCGTTTCATTACACAGACTACTCAGAACCACACTGTGATCTTGCGTTTTCTAATGTTTCTTACTTTAATTAATTTGGCTTTCTGTTATGATTATTTCTTCATTATATTCTATCTTACGTTTCCTCTTTATGCAATGACTAGGACACGGCATCAATCTGTATTCAGCTGTGTCGTCCGAATCGAATTCATGGCCTGGAAAAATATCCTAGTTGCAAAAATGAGATGAGATGTTCTCTGTCTGGCTTTTTATACCTTTAAATCGGTCGCGAGAGATTCTAGTAATTTCTGCTTCTCGAGATTTCTGGAATGCAAAAGAAAAGAATTACGGTTAGAACCAACACAGTAGTCAATAATATTTATTTAATTTAAATATAACTTACGAGATATCTATTTATTAAAGCCCACCAGCGGCCGTGCGGAAAAGTCGCTGAATACTGGTAGTTCGGTCCGAGGTTCGAATTCCGCGAACGGGCTGGCTGCATGAGTGTTTTCGTGGTTTTCTTTATGTGTAACGTGTATACGAGCCAGTTTCCCTGAGAAAGTCCTCCACCAAGGCATCCCGCCCCTTAGGCAGATAGCCCTCGAGGCTTTGCCATAATCACACACGCACACACACATACTCTATGTATTAAACGTTAAATGCACGGGCTTCTGTATTTTTACTTTTCCGGAGAAGCTCTCTCTTAAAATATGTCTCGTGCTGCATTGCACGGGAAAATAAATGCAACTTTAATTACAGTTCTACTAGCATTAGCTAAGTAAATACAAAATTCGTGACAGTGTAGAGACAGTAGGTAATTTGGAAGCAGAAAAGATGAAAAATGTGCAACGCCTTCGCCGGGAATCGAACCACGGACTTCTGCAATACGTGCCCAGCGTGTAGACCACCACAAAGGCACGTCAAGAAGGCGGGAGAAATACCTTATAACAGTACTTTTACTATTGAGTCAATTTTTTCACAAGAGTGTAATGCTGTGTGGATATTTAATAATCTTTACTTAACAAAATATGCCTTTTATGCAAAATGACGGTACCGTGCAATGGTACTCTTCCGTTTTGCCGGCGCAGGCGATAAACTCGCCAATAATGGTACAACTGATGCCAAACGGATATTCTCGCTGGTAACCTTTTATGCCTGATTTTCAAAGCAAGTCGCAGCCATTTCTTATCAGATTGATTGGTTCTTTCAATGCTGATAAACAATGGCATAGAATATTTACCAGATAGTACAATTTTATGCCTTAAGGCGATCGCAGTAATTAAGTCAATTAGAATGCAATGACACCGCTCACCCGAAGGCGATAATATAGAAAAGGCAATGTCAAGAGTTAAATTCATCCATTCTAATGAGAATACACTAGCGAAATAAAGTACGGCCGTTTTATATAATTTCTGAGTAAGCTATTCGTACGAATTGAAATAATTCTTGCATTTAAACTTGAATTCCAAATTAAGATTTAACTTGAAATTAACGTAGATAATTACTGAGAGAATTAGCGTAGTTTAGGTGAGATGAAATCACTTGGGGTCACGTGAAATGAACCGGCGAATCAGGATGTTGTACCATGAAAGCATAGTAAATTCTTAAATTAATGTCTTTTTACAAATTTATTGGCTTTATATTTACTTTTCACAAAATTTTATACGATATTAAAATGTCTCTGCCTGCCAAATAAAAATTTCTTAGAACTAACATTTGTTAACATTTTTTATGTGTATACCGTATGTTGTCTCCAATAAAGTCTGCTTGCCGAGATTTGAGCCGGCGAAACGGAAAAGTACCTGTGCAATTTACCTGGCATCATACTTAGTATCTAATCAGAAATCGTTGTCAGCAATAAGAAGAAGTATGGAAGCTCCGATATTCTAACTAATCATCCTTCTAGTTATACGTATTTCGTATGCATGCAGCACCTATTATATTGTAATTTTAATATTTTTTTACCTAATGATTAACACCTCTCAAGCTTGTCGATTAACTGTTGATCAGAAAATTTAAGATCTTGGAGCTGAAGTTGGGCATTTTACGTATTTGTTATACCAGTGTTCACCTCTGTAATTCCACTAGAATAAGTTTGTTATGCAGAAGTTGATGAAGTTGCTGAAGCGCAGACTAAAATGGTTGAGTTTTGATTAAAAAGAAGCAACCAACGTTTCACTCACAAACTCACTTACAAAATGCTCGAAATTTGACACTCAGTTATGATGTGAACTTGCCGCAGAAAATTACATGTAAGCCATCAAAATTGAAATGTTATTAATATGATATAATCAGATTTTTCTGAGTGAACCATGTATCAATGTAATTCAAATTGACTCTCAATCAATTCATTTCTTCTTCCTCACAATTCTACCAAACTTCGTAAACGGTTTCGCGTAAGGGTACACTGATTGTAGAATTTTTAAAACGGTATATACTATCCTATGCTTATGCAAGACAGGCAAAAAAACTTTCTCACATGAAATGGCGTTGTAATAAATTTTCTAGCTTTTAATATTTCAGTAATGAATACAGTTACAAATTCAGATAACATAACGATAAAATGGGGCTTGAAAGAGGAAAGTAATATTTTGCTACCTTCCTTATTATCATTATTATTTTTAGTTTGGTTAAGATTTCAGTGAAGACCTTTTGCTTTATAAGACAGAGAAGCCTACAACGAATAAAAGATGAAAGGGGTTAAAAACTAATTATACGAATTACAGAAATCTATATAAGTGTGGAATGCTATCATTTTGAAACTCAAAATAATATCAGTTGACCTTTGAAGACAGAATGCTGCAGATTTACTTACCTTATGCAAATTCTTCTTTTTACTTCCTTGTACGAAATAAAAAGGAAGTATTGTCATCGCGAAAAATTTCGGGTATCATATTTCAACGAAAATATCCATTTTGACCGCTGTCGAATATAATTTAAAGATGTTTTTGAGTGACACCTGCACAGAAGAACATAATAAAGGACTCTTTTCCCTCAAAAAATTATAAAAACTGATTTAAAATTAATTCTGAAGAGATTTTTTCATGGCGTCTGTACGCACGTACGTACGTATATCGCATAACTCAAAAACGAGTAGCCTCACAATGTTGAAATTTTGTACATAGGACTGTTATACCATGTAGATGTGCACCTCCCATTTTGGTTGCAATCGGCCGCGCCAAAAGTTAATTTTTGATTACCATGGCAGCCATGAGTTTACATTTCAAACTGAGCAGAATAGTGGATTTGTTGCCAATCTAGAGGAACTAAGCTTCCCAACAACAAAGTAACATCTTCTTTATTATTGCTAATTAAATTATGATTAATTAATTCTAGAATTAACATTTAAGTTATTATTATGTTTTTCTATAACTTTCAAATTTTAATGAAAATATTTTGAATTTTTATGTATTTTTGTCTTGCCGTGAAGTGATAACTGAATTAATTAATAGCGCATGCGCATTAGGTAAGTGGCGCTGATTCGTCTGCGAAAAACTGTTTCCTTTTTATTTGTTTAATTTATTTTACACACCGATTTAGATTTATTATAGTATTTGAATAGAACTTGTGGTAATTCTTCAGATGATATAATTTTTGTCCACTCTGAGTTATAAAATGAATGTTAATGCTGTTAAGTGAACGCAGCGCCGGCGTGTCGCTTTAGTAAATAAATATACTGAACTCCCAATAGTGCATTAATTCTATTGTGGTTTATGCGCTATCGAGGAAGCACATTTAATTCCCTGTTAATTCAATATGTTCAAACGAAATGCAGGAGAATTTCGTATAATTTAATATTTCGTACAAGGAAATCATGTGGTGTACACATCAGAATTTTTCTTAATATTGGAACCCTTTAAGATTACGTTTATTTGGCATGCCCGTTTCTTCAGATATTATAAATGCTGGCAATTTTGCTTTGAATTGCGAATTATGCTTGTACATAGCTGTTTACACATATACCAAATTTACAATTTGTTACCAATTTTGCTTTTTCAGGTGAAAACAACAAAAGCATCTTTCTGGCTCTTCTCGGAAGTTTATT